GTACAAAAGTCCTCGAGTTTCGAGATGCAGGAAGTTATCTTTTGCTGCAAAGTGCCGCCGATTAACCATTCTTTGTCGTTGCTTGCATATCAGCCACGAGGCCGACATCGCCGACCGCACCCCATTGAATCGCTAGTCCGTGCAGACCCTCTTGCACTCTTCTCTCGCAAATTCTTTCCATGATAGAATTTGCCATGCCGTAATTGGTCTGTCCGGCATTTCCTCTGCCGCAAGATACCGAAGAGAACACAACAAAGTGACGAAGCTGAGGACATATTTTTTCTGGTCAAATGATCCAAGTTTTTTGTGGCCCAAGCTTTCGCTTTGAAGGGCTCTTGGAACGTTTCTACAGTTTGATTCGGACAAATTTTATCATTCAATATTACTGCCAGGTTGAATATAGCGTCCACCGGCGCCAGTTTTTCCGCCGATTTTAGCATATATTCGCAATCTTTGACGTCCGATACGTCGACGTTCGATATGATTAGCACTTTCACTCCGTAAGATTTCCATAGATCGATTTTCATTTGTTGATATCCGTTTTTTACTCCGGCGCGCGAGATGAACACCAGATTCTGAGCGCCACGAACAACCAGCCAGTCGGCTAATTCTAAGCCGAAGCCACCCAACCCGCCTAAGATGATGTACGATTTGTTTGATAGACAGTAATAACGTGGAAGTGCAAGAATGGGTGCGCTCATAGATTCATTTTCTTTGTGCATTTTTATGATTATCTAAAAGTACGTTAACTCATTTAGCTCAGTTTTTATTTGATGTATTATGTTTTATTTTTAATTGATTTCGCGTATTAAGTTACTATTAATTCCAGTTAAATTGACCTACCTTTCCTATATGCTTTCCAGCTGCCATGTATCTGAATGCAGCTTCTACTTCGTCTTTTTTGAAAATCTTCCTGGCAATCGGTTGAATAGCTTTATTCACGAGATTTGCGGTCACTATCCTATTGAAATTTGCTTTCATTTTCTCCGGAGCTAAGAATATATTATCCAACATAACGCTGTAAAATTTAATTCCTTTCGAAAGGATTGACAGGTTCAATAAATTATTGGCCATAAAATCGAATTTGCCGATTTCCAGAAAACGCCCGCTTTTTGCGAGGCAACGGATGGACGTCTGGAGTTTTTTTTCGGCGAGTGAGTTTAATACAATGTCCACGCCACGGCCGTTGGTCTGATTAAGTATCATTTGCTCGAAACTGTTGTCGCGCGAATTTCCAATGTGATTCTCTGGGATGAACGGGAACGTGTCTCTGATAAACTTTCGCTTTTCCGGAGTGCCAACGGTGGTGAATATCTCGCAACCTTTGTGATGCGCAAGATGAATTGCAGCTTGTCCCACGGCACCGGTGCCGGAGTGGATGAGTATCGTGTCGCTCTTTTTCATTTTCGCTTTGATGATAATCCGTAACAGCACGTGCTGTAAGCGCATGGAACCGTTGCAGCGTCCTCCATGCTCCACTCATCGGGAACGTTCCAGCACATGTCTTTGTAGGATATGCACATATTTGATATGGATCTGTGAATTAAAGAATTAAAATTTTTTATATCTAAAGAAAAAAACAGGATTATCTAGGATAGATAACTTGTAGATTTTACAGTAAATATAATAAATACAGTAATACTGTTTATAAAACATTTATGCATTCCAATAAAATAATTTTACGTTTTTCTTGGCTTTACAAAATATTGCAAGTTGCATTACAAAGTCTGCAACATTTGAGATAGAAATTTTTTTAAATAAATAATTTTTTCATTATTTTTCATCTTCTTATTGCACATGCATATACAATATATAAACACAAAATATATCAATTTATTCAATAGAAAAGCTTGCTTTAAAGTGCGATAACTTTTTTTATAAACAGTATACTTTTAAATGATTGCATGACAGTAATGTACCTGTTTTCCCAAATTCCCATCACTCTTTGTCCAGTATTATCGACGCCGACATATTCCATACCCACCATACAATCCTCGAGTCGTCCGCGCGTTAAGTAGAAAACATCTCCCGCCAGTTTGCCGGACGCTATCATTACATCTTTGAAATTGATAGACGAGTAAGCTATGTGAACGAGATTATTCTCCTTATAATCCGGGGTAATCGGACCTTCAATCCAGCGAAATGAACTCAAATCACCGCTCACCTAATTGAGAAATATTTTTTATTATGACAGAACTGTAAGGATAACTTTTTTTATTTATTTATGAAACATTTGTACCAATTGATTGGCAAATGCGTGGTATACGAGCTTCGGTGTCAGCGGCGCTAACGGAAGATGTCTGTATGAACCCCATGTTTTACCCGGACGCAAGACATTTATAATAAGATCGATCCGAAGTTGCTCCGCGTATAATGGCTCGTGCAAAGAAAACTCCGGTGCAGTTTCGTCTTGAATAAACACTCCTCTAATCAATTCGCCGCCTGGTTCTCTTCTCAAGCAATTGACGAGGCCCAACAAGCCGCATTCCGAATCTTTCTCGCTGACTAAAATTATTTTTGCAGCGTTTCTTGACTCGTTCTCCGCGTTCAAGATCGATTTAAGCTGCTCTAACCAAGAGAACTCGTAATTGTTCACGTGAATAACTTTAGTTTTCCTCGTCGACTGTTCTGTCTTCTTTAACAGTATAAAGTGCTCTTTCTGCGAGCGTTTCTCAAGTACTACTGCTAAATCGTACTTTTCGGCAGTCGCAATGTCATCTTTCGTGAAGGACTGTTCTCGTGTCAATAAGAATCCATTGTTTTGTAACGCCGGCAAAATTTCTTTTAAGGTTTTGCTCTTATTCTTCGTGAACAAATCGTATCCTATGATTAATATTGTCTTATCGTCATTCGACAACTTCTTCGATTGCGAGACTGTGATTTTCGAAGGAAGAGTAACGCAATCGAAGCGATCGGTTCTGGTTACCAGAGTAATGTTTGGTTGAAGCAACGGTAGATCACCCAAGATATCAATAAACAGTGGCGATGCTATTTCATTTGTTTCTACTTTGTCATCATCTTCGATCAATTCGATAATATTTACTTTTATCACTTGATGATACTCCAGAGCGAGATGCGTCGACAGCATCACGGCTTCTTGTAGAGAAACCTCGGCTCCGTCGCGATGAGCTATGAATCTGTATTCTTCGAGAACGGGCTCCCCCGCTGTTTTTCGGCGAAATATGGAAGTAGCCTTGATTCCGCGAATTTCTACACCGCCGGATACTACCGCGTCGAAGGTTTTGTACACACGCACAGGAAGCTCTAAAAAGATATTTATAAATATTGTATTTTTTTATACTTAAACTTCTTTTACGTTAAACAAATTTCTTTATTTGAAAATTAGTTACAATATTTAAAGATACATTAAAAATTAATATTAAAAAGCTGATAGAAAGAAAATAAGTCGACAAACTTACGATAATCGTTAGCTGCTGCGTTCCGTACTTGCTGTATGTGAAATTTCGTATCGATCACCAACTTTTGTATTCCCGTGGGAACATGAAGATTCCTCGTGTCTCTCGCGAGAATTTTTATTTGCAGCATATTATCCATAAATGTTACCCAGTTGTACAACCAAGCTATGTGCCCTTGTTTTCCCGTAGTCGACGAACTCTTCAGACCTCGAAACATGCCGGTGTATTGATATCCTCGTAATCTGAGTTCCTTGTAGATATCTTTTGTCTTCATTACTTCCTCCTCATTGTCATTCTCTTGATTTAACAGTTGACTCGGTAACTTTTCTTCGGCAATATCTGTCGGTTCACGCACAGTGCCAGTGACAACGGCATTATCTCCTTCGATAACTTCAAACTTTCCAGTTGCTGCAATAAAAATCTTGAATATTTCTTTTATCACATAAATTGAGTATTGTCATTTTGAATGCAGCAAATAAAATAGCTTATTGAAAAATTTTATTTTAAAATAAGATCCACCTTTCTGCACCATTATTCTTAGATACACGGGTCCTTGTTTCGGAAAGTGCGTTGCCCGAATGAACTTGACATTCTCAAATACAATTGGCATATCTGTATACGATAGGCTTTTCAGCATACCCATCGTTTCCCAAACTAGAATGAGATATCCAGTAGCCGGCAATAACTGTCTTCCGTCAATCACATGACCGCTCATATATTCGTAATCTTCGTCATTTAGCGCAACTTCAACCATCCTTTCTCCGTTAGAGAGTTTCGTCTGCATTTTATGACTTGTTACGTACCAGTCCTCGGAATGGTCCCATCTGGAAATAGAAAATAAAAATTTTTTACCGTGAAAATAATTTTGTATTCTATTATGTTTAACAAATGAATAATGTGTTCGACATACTTGATTGACGGCGAGATCATCGGCGTGGAACGACTAACAGGAAATTTCATGGTCGGATATAGATTTGCTAATTGCGGTTGCAAGCCATTGTTGTACATTTTTCCCAAACTTTGCAAAAATACTTTGATGTTATCCTCGTGATTACGCTGAAGTAATGTGATGCTGGTTGTGCCGAACAGTTCTTTCGTAACACCCTGAAGAATAGCATCCGGCGCGATTTCAAGAGTCACTGCGTTTCTGGGAATTAATTGCGCGGTTTTATCGA